GAAATTTTTAGGCTGTTGGCAATGATGAAAGGTGCTGGCGATGAGCATCTATCGAACTGGGGTTTACCAGTTCACTGTCTTTAACGCAAGGTTTTGACCCTCGCACGTTAGTAGGAAAAACGCTTAAAAAGGATACGTTTGGGGCAAATGAACTATTTTTACGAACTTTTTAAGTTGTTTCAAAGAGTACAATTTTAAGTTAAAAAATGAGCCGTAGCTAGCTTTATATCCAGGTGGTCTTTCATATGAGCTAGCACCTTTCTTTGATTGCTCCAAATAAAGGGATTGCCAATAGTCCAGATCCATAAGTCCCAAATGACTGGCAACATCATTGAATTTCACCGAGAGCTGGAAGTATGTGGCCGGATTTTGTTTCTTTCTACTGAGTTTATGACCATATTAAAATCCCCCACCACTAACCACGGTCAGAGCATTGGTCCCCAAGCTTAGGGAGTTAAGATAGGAAAACATGTTTCTGTGAACGATACGGCGGGTCCCTACACTCCAATAGAGACTCCAGATGATGGTTTGGAGAACCATGCAAGAACTATAAAAAAATTATATCATATGTCTGGAAATACTGTATCTTTCTAATGATTGCAGTTCTATGACAAGAGGTTGCTCTATGATGAAGTTATAAAGAGAATTAACTGATTGATTAATGAAAAAATTATGTAGAAACACAAAAGATAAACCGATCAAGTGAAGGAATTTAGTCTCGACCCAGACAAGAATGTAGAAGAGGTATTGAGGGAGAAAAATCAAAGAGAAGAGTTCCAGAGAAAGTTGAGCTAGGGTTAATGGAGAATAGAGAAGAAAAAAAAAAAAAAAAAAAAAAGATTATTAAAAATAATTATTTGAAGCTAAATAATAAAGTTGAAATGACATTTTTGCCATTCAGCCGATCTCGTTTTTCTCCTCAAGCGGCTGGAATCACCTCCTGCATTTTTCCACTTCTTCAGGTTGGTTTCCGGTGCTCTTGAGGTTTTATTCAGTGGACGTGATAAATTATTTTCCGTATCTGATCCAAACCTGTTCGTCTGCTCCAAATCATACTTCTCTTCAACAGCCGTCGCGAGGTTTTCTAAATTTTCTCTTGTATTCTTCTTTTGCTTGATTTTATTTAAACTTATTGTTAGCGATTATCTCTCTGTTTCTGCCTTTGATTTAATGAGATTATCTGGTATATGCTATGAATATCTTACGATTCTCTGCTTTCTTTCCCCCCTTTTTTTTTTGTATTCGATGAATTTCCTGGCCAGTTATTGTTTTTGTGTATGAATTTTATTGTTCTATCATTCAGCTTTCTTCATTTTTTGTCGTTAACGAATTTTCTATTATCTTCGCGAAACAGTTTCTCCAATTTTATCGTTTATTTGGGACTAACTTACTGTGGAAATTGTACTGCCATTATCTCCTCTCTTCTTTACTTTGCTGCCCTGCCATTGAACTTTTTCTTCATCGCCACCACGAACACCGGTTTGAGCAACTACCCCGGAACTTGGGATCAAACTCACAGTTCCAATGCCACTTCAACGCCAGCAACACCCAGGGCCACTAGTTTTGTTTTGTTTTTTTTTCTTTCATCTATTTTTAGTTTGATCTAATTCTTTCCGTCATCCTCCGCTCCAAGTTAACAAGGCAACAAGAACACAGATAAAGGAAGGAAAAAGCGACTTCCTTCCTCTCTCTCTCTCTCTCTCTCTCTCTCTCTCTCTCTCTCTCTCTCTCTCTCTCTCTCTCTAGAGTAGAGATGAAAACTCAATGTTCTTTATTGAAATTTCTTTCTGTAAGCCACTTCTATTCAGCTATTATTATCCCAGACCCAGTTAGGATTTTTGCTTCTTTCAAATTTCTCCAAAAGTTAGATAATATTAATTCCATTATTCTCTGTTCTTTCATTTTCTACTGCAACCAAACAGTTGATTCTGTCATTTCTTTTTTGGTCCTTAGTTTCTTTACAGTTTAGTTCCTCATACTTCTTGCAGTTAGCTGGTGTTTGCTTTACTCTAAGGTTTTGCATAATTTGTACTTGAAATTTGAAATTTTCGATTGCTGTTTACATGCGAAGACCTGTGGTACCCTGCTCATGTTGTTGATATTGTGCAGATAATCTTGTAAGTTTGTTAAGCTCAGTAGTGAAGGACATGGCAAGGTCGTTGTCGAACATACTCTTGAAGGGAATATCAAGTCTACCAGCTGCCCGTTCTGGTAGAATTGTAAGAATCAAGAACTTTTAACTCCTTAACAATTGATTATACGGTCAGATTATCGCAGGATGCAAGAGAATAGTTTTGCTTATCAAGAGAGAATAATTTTGCTTATCAAGTACTTCTAGCTCTTTTAACATGGCAAGATAAGGGCAGTTATCAAGCAAAGTACTAAGACAGGATAGGCAAAAATGATTTTTTTTTTTTCGCTATTTCAGTTGTTTGACTGTGTAGATTCAGTTGGTTTTAACATCAATAAGAATTTGGGAGAACATATTTTAGTTATTGTTGGCAACATATTCTATCCTATCAAAGATATACAAAATTAGCAGGAAGTTTATGCTTATATTTCCATTTGTGTGAGTTTAACAAAAAAGAGGATCAAAGTTTGGGTTGAGAGCTCTCCGAGGTGACGGCTTGCTTATGGGATCAACTCAGTATTAAAATTTTTATAAATCATAAAAATAGAAGCAATAATGATACATCATAGTTTGTTTTGAACCTACTGGCAGGTATCTGGAGCATTATATCAAAATGGAATAAGATATTCTACTTCTGAGACCAATGATCCTGACATGCATGAAGACTTTAGACCCCACCAATAAGGATTAATAATTCAGCTGTGTCCTTGAAGGATGTAGTGGAGCAGGTGGAGTTATCTTCTGTCTCTTTTTTTGTTATGCAGATAAGCCTATTATGAATGTTTGACCATACCTTATTATTTATAAAAGGGCATTTTTTCACTTGTAATCCATGTTTAATGATAGTGATTTTCTTCTGGATAGGATGTTAAAGAAAATCCTGTTATGATTTACATGAAAGGAGTGCCCGAATTTCCTCAATGTGGATTCAGCTCTCTGGCAGTAAGAGTGTTGAAACAATATAGTAAGCTTTCATAGTTTGTAACTTGAATTAATCCATTGTGTAGTTGAATTTTGTGGATGTTCATGCACAGACGTAAGAAGAGAAGGATTGTGTGTGTTTGCGTGCATGCATGCAAGAGTCCTTTATTGTGTCCGTATGTGCATGCTGCAGGTTTATATATGTTCTTAGTAATTCCAATTATTTGATTCTACAGTTGATTTTATGTCTATGAGAGATAGAGACGGCTTCCTTGTGTGTGAGAATTAATCCATTTTATGTATCATATTTGTATGGTGAATTAATTTCCTGGGGGCTGGATGGGAGGAAGGGAGGAAGAGAATGCATACACCGAGCCGTTTCTATAAATATATACACACACAAAAAGTTGTAGGCTTTTAACTTTTCCTATCTAATGCGTCCATTGGTTATGGTATTTCTCTCATTTTGGCTGTGATCTCTGCAGGTGTGCCTTTAAATGCTAGAAATATCCTGGAAGATCCCGAGCTGAAAGGTGCTGTAAAAGCCTTCAGGTAAAAGAGCTTAGATATTTTTTCTATTCACAAGTGAAGATACTCCTGTCATGATGACTTGACACCACTAGAAAAGGTAAAAGAACGGAAAAGAGAACTGCTGTGTGGAGTTAAAACAATTTTTTAAAAGCCTTTAATCTGTCAAGAATCTGAATCTTGTTCTTTTCCATTCCTCTTGTATCTTCAGTCTTGTTTAAAATCGGGTATCGAATGTGTCATATACAGATCAGTAAACATATTGAATATAATGATCATATTCATCCCGTATCATTCGACTGCCAGAAAGAATTGTTTTTTAAGGATTTTTGTATCTGTCTTCTAGTAAATTAGTTTGATAATTATCATCTTAAGTTTCACCTGCTTGTTTCTGAACTTGTGCACGTCTTCTATGCAGCCACTGGCCTACATTTCCTCAGATTTTTATCAAGGGAGACTTCGTTGGAGGTTCAGATATAATCCTCAACATGCATCAGGTAGTTTTCTTGTAAATAGAAAAAAACAAAAAAAACAAAAAAACAAAAAAACAAAGAAAAAACAACCGGTCATTTTCTTCTTATTTGGAGCTGCTTTTTGGACTACCCTAATACAATGAGTTGCCTTGTAGACCGGTGAACTGAAAGGAGAAGCTCAAAGATATCAGTGCCAGCCAGAAGTCTGAATGAGAAATGGTTGACCATGAA